CTATCTATCTATCTATCTATCTATCTATCTATCTATCTATCTATCTATCTATCTATCTATCTATCTATCTATCTATGCTGTGAATTTTATTATGTAAAAATGAAACATAGCTGCAATTGATAATATTTCTGCTTTCTATGTTTTCTATTTATGTTCAATTTAAAGGAATATTCAAAATATGAAAATTCAAGTAAACCCTCAGTTGAACAGACTGCAATTTTAAAAACTTCAGATGGAAACAGTAAAATCTGTCCTGTACACTATGCTTCTGCATGTGTATAAGATCCCTTTCACCATTTTATGCATGTGTAAAATCCTATTTGGATGGACATTAAAGGATTTACCTTTATATAAATTAAGCATATATAGTGGAAGGGAGAGATAATTTGACCTACATGTTTGTATTGCAGGTCCCGATATTACTAAAAAATTGTGAAGGAAACCCAGATGCAGGATTTGGAAAGATACTGAGGATAAACCAAAATGATGAATCACAAAACAGTGGAACAGCAGGAAACTTAGAAGATTTTATCACTCCAAGTCAACAAAAAGAAAAAAATTCTACTAGGCAAAAAGGAGTTGAAAGTAATTTGCATTTATAAGCGGAATACTTGATTTGCTTTGCAGTTTAGGACAGGTGTGGGTAACTTGTTTGGTGTGTTTGTCACTAGCTTTTGTTTGTAAAACCACATAGGATTCCCAGGAACTGAACACAGTTTGGAGGTGGCAATATTTGAGAGCAATAGTGTTCAGTGTTGCCCTGTCTAACAATCTAACCATAAACCTAATGTGATGGAAGCTCGGATGCTATAAATGTGCAGTATTTTCTGATGTATCTTAGCTGCTCTGACCAGATAGCCTACATTTCAAGTAGGATAATACCTACTACAGGTAGTCCTCGCTTAATCATTCGTTCAGCAACTGATTGAAGTTATAACCAGTCCTTGAAGTTATGGCCATTGCAGCACCCAGACGGTCACATGATCAAAATTTTGGTGCTTGGCAGCCCGCCCACATTTATGACTGCAGGGTGCATTTCAACTCTCCCCACTCACTTATCTCCCCCCATCTCTGCCCTTTTGGCTGTCCAGTCCACTACTGCTGTCTGCCCTTGCCACCCACCACTGCCCCCAGGTGACTTTTGCTGTCTTCTTCCTCCTGCTGCTGACAAGTCACACCTGGCTGAGGCAGCTGCTGGCCATTTGCGAGGCTGGAGAATTGTGAGGTCCTCAGTTAATGACCACAACCAGAACTACTAGAAGTGCTGTTGCTAAGCGGTGCAATCAGGTGATGTTTTGCTTAATGACCGCTTTGCTTAATGACAGAAATTCCAGCCCCAATTAGGATTGTTAAGCGAGGACTACCTGTATAATAACAAACTCCTCAGAAAAGGAATGCGGTCTTGTATTTTATACCTTTTCCTTAGCAGCTTGAGTGAAATAAGAATATCACCATTACATAACCCATTTTAACATAAGTATTGCTGAATTTACATATGAACTATAATGCTTGATGGAAACTCGCAGAACAAATTTGACCAGCTTAGAACCTTGAGAACTTTATGAATCTTTGAAATTATGATTGTTTCATAGAAACGCATCTAATCTGTTTACATCAGGTAAAACTTTTCTGGATTCTCTTTCTGGAAAGAAAACTACTTACACAGGAAGCAGGTCTGCCACTCCAGGTAAGTTAAAGGTTAAAGATTAAGCATAATAACAGTATGCACAGAATGTTTACTTGTTTATAAATTAAAACTTTTGAAAATATATTTAGTCAGTCCTTACTATGTTCAGCTGATGGCTCTTTCTGAAGGATAACATACTGACTTGAATTACTCAAATACAAGAGATTTTTCTGTTTGAAAGGAAATCTTTCATCATATCTCTGATATAGTATTTGGTAATTATATTTATAGTCTGTTTTAATGCCCAAACCCTTTTTCATTAATTGATACCAAATTATCTGACTTTTTTGTGCATCCTTTATGTGTTTTCTTAATCTAGGAATGGATATTGGGTAGATTCCACGCAGCTCCCCAGCACCCTGAACTTGTGCTACTGAAATTTGACCAAATGGTTGATTCTGGCATGCTGTTTTTGCCCCTCCTCCACATTAAGGTTGGAAATGGAAGCAGAAACCTCAGGGTGGCAAAACAACCCTGTTTCACAACACTGAATTTTGTTAAATTTTACTTACACGGTTTTGGGTTATTTTTGGAGGAAATTTAATATGGAAATGGGAGCAATTTGTCTCGTTGAAATTTCTTTCTTAGATCTGAAAAAAATCAAGAATAAAGAAAGTTGACCCCACTCCTCCCTTAAAATCACCTGTAGTTCTCCAAGTCAGGGGAGCAAGCTGTGGCATGTACCCCTGAAAAAGTTTCCCATCCAAAACTTCACATAGCTCTGTTTGGGTTTTAATTGACAGTATTGGAGGAAGACAATGGCAAATCACTCATCTATTGTGCCAAGAAAACTGCATAAATCTGTTTGTGTATTCATCAGCAGTGAGCTCAACTCAACAAAGTCTTTACTTTTTAACTGATTAATATATCTTCAGTATATCGGAAAATTGGGAAGGAAATTGGCATATGGAAAAATAGAAGTATGTTCGGAGGAATTAGGATGCTGATTTTAAATTTCTTTGTGAAAGCTTATTTTAAGATGACTGTTTCTTAAAACACTGTAATATGTTTTGATACCTTTAATTGTATTAATAGTTGTGAAACTTATATCGAGGATTGTTTTATGCAAGGATCAAAAGAAATGGAACAATGAAAAAATGGGAAAATATATTACTACATTGGAAACTTTTCAGTAGCAACCCCCCAAAAGTATTAAATCAATAGTTACTTTATTCTACAGGTCTTTTTAATCAGCATCCTATTTAAAAATGGATCCTTATCTGCATATTACAATCAACATATAAGTGCATGTGCATGTACATTGTCTATCCAGTGGAAACAGCAAAAAAGAAGAAAAACAGTATGCAGATGGGGTAAAAGGAAGAAAACTTCATAGCAAAGAGAAAAAATCAAAAAAGGAAAGAACACTGTATGTGCATCAGAGGAAGAGAAGAAATAACTGAACATGGAGGGAAAGAAAAGAAAATATGTACTGAATCTTGATAATATGCAGGCTGTACCAAAGTCAGGACCCAGAGACAGTTTATTATATAAATTACATTAAATGTTAGAATTGGTTGCCATTTTCTTCTAACTTCCTTACTCATTTGACACATGACCTTTGAATATTCCTAACTACAATAACATTTTCTATGAAAAAAAATTAATAAAACATAGGGGCCTATGGGGCCCAACTTTTGGTACACCCTGTATTTCTGTATAACTTCATTTAAATTTAAATGAGTAAGTAAGCTGAAATAAGCTTTATTCCAAATTAAATGTACTCCTTTGTTAAAAAAAAAAAATTAATTTGCCACATTGTATGTCTTCTATGGGTGGGCCCTAAGACATTCTTTGCTCTTGAATGTGTTACCTAAAAAAAAAGCTGACTTTTCTTGCTTTAATATGAGATAAATGTTTAGTCTTAATGTTAAGGAGCTGCATATTTGAATGAACTGGCAAGTTAAATGAATACAAGAAAAATATGGCTAATAAACGTTTCAATATTGTAGATTTTAAGAAACTTCATGAAGCTCAGTTCAAGAAAATGCTATCTATTGATGATTATATTGAAAGGAAAAATAAAATGATGCGTAATTTCAGCAGCTCAGTTAATGAGATCAAGGTAAGCGATCTTTCTCCTACCCCAATTATATGAAGAGTATCCTGAATGAAATTATGTCTCTCATTCAGTCTTATTTACAAGAAAAGGTTCATAGATGCTTATAAAAAAAGAATTTAGCCATTCTTCTTTTTGGAGATAGTCCCATCAATTTGTTCTATGAGCCTTTCAAAAAAAAAGTAAGAGACATGGTCATGATCTAGTTTCCCATTTCACTGAAGTAGGGCAGCAAAAAGATAGAAGGATTTTCCATTGAATGTTGGAAGTGTTCAAACCCTGGCCAGTTTAATAAGACTTCCATCTTGCAAAGGTTAAGTCCAATGATCTGTTTAAAGTATTGATTTGTTCATCACAGTTCTTTCAGACCTGCCTCTTGCCCCAACAATGACAATTCATATTTTTTGCCTAACTAGCAAATGTCAAGTGGTGCATCCTGCTCTATGTATATGACTAGATGGTAACAAAAGGTGAAAGCCCTGAAACCTTGAGTTGTGTTGGATAGGGGGACTTGCTATGGAAGTATAAAATCCCACCCCCCCACCCCCCAATAGGTGTAGGGAAAAGCTATTACTGTTCAAGATAACAGGTCAGACAGTTGGGCAGTTAGGAGAAAGGATGATGAAGAAGAAGGAATAGCAGCATTCCTATTTCAGTTCTCCAAACGTAGTTGGTCCAGAAATTAAGCACCTTACAGAACTGTGGCAAATACATTATTTAACATTTCAATTACTGATTCCACATAGAATCACTTTCAATGAGCTAGCTGAAGAATGGGGGATGGGAATTATGTACTGGTTATCTCACACAGTTTAGCTGACCCTCTTCTAGTTGTCAATCTGTTATAACTTCCCTGTTGTGGAGATCCTGTTATGAAAATGTCTGTGACAAAAATAATCCTAACCATACTGAAAGGCTTGCTCTGTATTTTCTTCGCTTCAGAGGTGAGTAGATGGAATGAGAGTTTTCAATCAAGGCACTAAAACTTGAAACTATCTTCTGGGTGAAAGATATCTGTCATAACTCCGTCTGATTTTCAGAAGGAAGTGAAAACATGGATCTTTATATAAACTTTTTGATTAGAGTATTGATATGATAGGGCTTTTTAGTTGGAGCTATTAACTTTGGAAGCTATGTTATAGACTGACCATAAAGTAATTACCTTTTCTTAATTTCAAGTGGTTTAAGTTTGCAAGAACTTAGAAAACTTTATTTTGGCTCAAATTCTGGCTTAGGCCTATGCTACTCTTGTTGCTGTTTATGTACCACTTAAAGTTTCTGAAAATACAGGAACCTTCCTAATGACTACATTGTGCTCAGACTGACAATCACAAGAAACATATGGCTTATAGCAAATATTGTATAAGTCCTTGATTAGAGTCTCCATTATTCCTTGGAATGACAGAGGAGCTGGAGCAAAGAAGAAGAAAAGCAGTACTACTTTTTAACAAGTTGTGGTTCTGTTTGGCAATTAGTTCATCTCCATGTCTGGCAGTAGTCTTAAAAAGCAACCTGATATTTTATTATGAAGCACTGTTATGAGGGGGAAAAATCCTAGGTCTCTAATTGCAGATGCTGGCTAAGAAGAATAAGTCTCTGAAGACTTCTCAGAAGGAAAATCTAAATACTAATTCCAAGGTAAGGATAAATTTTCAGTTAAGAATTTCCTTTACAAAAATTATCTTTTTTGACCTCAAGCCTTTTCAGCTAAACTATCTGTTAAAATGTGGCAGTGTCCCTCGTCTTTGCAGGTACCTTCCAGTTCCAGAGGGCTTTTATTAAGTCCCCCTCCTCAAAGGCATAGGCTTTCTGCCACAGGGACTCCATTAAAACTGTGGCATTCAATACGCAATTCTCCTGGCACTGCAAATAAAAGTATTTTATCTCAAAAATCATCAGCCAGCCTTTCTACAACTAAAATGAATGTCAGGTAAGAATATATGTGGCAATAACCCTGATGAAATAAAAATAGTTTACATGTGGAAATGTGTGAATTATCAAATTTAATATTTTAGAATCCAAATTTGTATAATAATGTTTTAATAAACAAAAATACTTAAAATAGTTTGGATTTAGTAGCTAAATTTTTGTTGCATTTTCTCAGTGTAAAAATAATGTATGCATTTGAGAGAATGATTATATGTAGAATCCACAAAAAGTTTTAAGCACAGAGCATTCTGAGTTAATTCCTATTCCCTTTGGCAGGATATTCAAATACTTTAATATTTTACATATGCTCCTAGTTATTTGGATGAAAGGGATATAAAATTATGATGAACCACTAAATACTATAAATGTTTTTGTTAGATTCTCTGAATCCACAAAGGACAATGAAGACAAGCGTTCCCTTATCAAGACTCCATCTAGAAAATCTCCATTTCTGAAAATCTGCACCCCAGATAATCAGAAAAGCAGCGAATGTATAACTGGAAAGGACTCCAAAGGAAGAGCAATGAACTCTCAGTCAACAGGAACTCCAGCAAATTCTGGTAACTTTTCCAAAAACTGCACCAGTAATGACGTGCACTTCTTTTACATGTGATTGTTGTGGAGGTCATTGATACAGAATCTTTGGACTATTGTATTATATACAGTCAATATGAAGTTCCTTTCATTTCCAGTGTTTAATTTTACATTACACTAACTGGCACCTGGGGTAGAAAAAGGCAGTATTCTAGCATGAAACTTGAATAAATTTGGTCTAATATGTAGCTCCAATATAGCTTTATAAGTAGAGCTTTGTGGATTCTTAGGATGGATACTTTCACATAGAATCTGTACTACGATTCCTATTTTTTAAAAAGCTAATACTCTACAGCTGGTAGTACTACACCAGCCTTATCTGATCAGGTAGGGTCACAAATTATGATCACGTTACCGCAGGACGCTGCAACTGTCTGAGTGCGAGCTGGTTCCCAAGCACCCAGATTGCAATCATGTGATCACAGGGGTGATGGGATGATAAGAATTTTGAGGACCAGCTGTAACCACCACTCATTCAGTGCCGCTATAACTTCTAAGAGTTGCTGAACAAATGGTCATTAACTGAGGACTATCTGTACTACAATTGCTAATTTATTTCTTGGGCCTCTTTAGTTCAGTAAAGACCACTAAAATAATACTTTGCTTAATCTTCTGTTTCTGCTTTAGGAAAGTCCTGTATTAAAAATCTGAAAAAATACCCAAGTGTTTTTTCCCATTTTAAGCTGAAAATTTAAATGAGTTCTAAAATAAGTTTTATCTCTGTTGCTTACTGATTATCAATAGGTTGGTTTTCTCCTTATAGCTGTCACTCCCTTCAAGTTTATAAATCAGACTGTAGAACCCACAAGCACCAAGAAACCAGTATTTGATCTACAAGCAAGTCTGTCAAGACCACTTAATTATCAGCCACACAAAGGTAACCATAGTTTTTAAAAATAACTCAATGTAAAAGGAACATTAAAATATTAGCTGTTGCAAACAAACTGAGAATTTAGTCACATACTGCCTGTAATATGCCTTGATTTTTCCAAAGGTAACTTATAATATACATATTAAATTAATGTACATCATTAATATTAAATTAAATCCATCATACGTAATTTGGCATGTTATTTAATACAAACTAAGTTGAAGTGGGTTCTTCCTGGCCTTTTGAGTTTGTTCTTAGCCCACACAAGAGTAAAAGTCTCCAACTTTGAGTCTACTTTCACATCTGAAAGTAGAAGCAGCTAGGGCAAAATAACTACTGTAAGGTCCCACTTAGTCATAACAGATAAGTAATTTTATAGAGATATTGGAAGGAAATTGGCTTATACCACAAATACCAAGCATAGATATCTGCACTCATTAAGCACATATCCATTTCATAAAAGGAAATTTAAAATATGCAAAGTATAACCTATTATAACAAAAGGAAAAGAAGACCATATAGGAAAAACTGCAAGATATATATTGATATTTTTGGCTAGTCTATGACTAATAAAGTATCTTGTCTCTTGACTATATATTAACTTGCCTCACATAGGCAAAATCCCCTTGCCTCATAAAAGAAACATATGGAAAATATTTGCTATTTATGTTACTTGATGCAGCAGATGAGAACAGGAAAGAAACAGATAGTAAACTAACACATTTTCCTTACATCAATATAGGAAAACTGAAACCATGGATCAACCCTAGTGAGAATCACCAGAGGCTGTATTCTCACAAGAAATACTACAAAGAGCCACCACTTCAAACCAGGCAAGTATATAACACCAGTACTTAAAGTCCCTGTCAAGAGCTGTGATTATTCTGTCATCCTTTGCCCTCATAAAATGAACATTCAGGTAACATTGAAGCTTATACCTTTGTCTTTTGAGAATCCTACAGCTGTGATCAAATGCAGAGAATTAAAATTCTGTATATCCTTTAAAAGAAGTTTGATGGTCCTGTGCCAAAAATTAGATCACATAGAGAAAAGGCAAGGATTTCTCCCAAGTAGCCAATAAAATTACTGCATGAAGATAAAATTTCTTCTGAGGGCTGTATATAAGGTTCTGAAATAAAACAGAGTGACACCTGTCACTGGTATGCATGAAAGCCTCATCAAATTATCTTTGTCTAGTCAAAGGGTGATCCAGGCCCAGTATGTTTGCCATACACCTAAAATCTGAGGGAGTTTGTCTGAACTTCCATTCTGTTGTGAGACACTGAGGATTATGAGAGAATATACTTAGACTATCAATTAGTTTATGCCAAACATGGAATGTAGGTAGTGAGAAGTTGCCTACATTTTAAAAAATGTAATCTGATAAATATTTTTCATAAACACAGCAGCCAAATAATGGAGTTGACAGTTTAAATTAGAAATAACACTCCAAAACAGTTTAATTACTCATTCAGTCTTCTTTTAGGTTGGAGCTGAAATCTCTGTACCTTGTATATCTGCAGTGGGATGAAGTACTTAAAATACATCCCCTCTAATTAATTCAGAGGGGGAAAGAGTCATTTTTTATCCTTTTTTTTTTTTTTTTACTTTTGCTTGCCAGTAGTAGTCAACTCAAAGATATATAATGAAACAGAACAAATAAAATTTGCTCACAAGCTGTACCACGGCAGTCCTAGTCCTATCACCTTTTGCCTCTTATACCCTTTAGTAGTATCTTTGGAGTCAGCACTTGTGTGTGCTAAAACCTTTGATTGCTTCTTTTGTCTTGTGCATGAGCTGAGTATGACATATTTTTGTAATTATTCCTTACTACCCCAGTGATCAGTTCAGATTGCTGCAGATTTCAGATCTTGCCGTTAACTTCTGACTACTTCTGATCCAGAAAGCTTACCTTACCAGCAATTCATTTTGCTTTTTCTTCAGCTTTCTAAGCAGATAGTTTCAGTTAACGGAAATGAGGGCCAGGAGAGGTAATCCTGGCAGTTATTCTCTTGTGGGAATAACAAACTGCTGGGTAAAATCTTCTGGTGCTTTGGGATGAGGTATCATCAGTGTGGTGATATGTATTGCCAAGCCAGGGTGGGAACAATGTGGAGGTCCTGATCCAGTATTTGGCAGCTGAGGGACTGGATGGAAATAAACTGACTGAAAATGAATCCCAGCATGGAGGTGCTGTTTGTTCAGCTACCCTCTGATTCTTGTTTGGATCCAGTTATTACTCTGGACAAAGCTGCACATCCCCAAGGAGGAGCTTTGTGACTTGGCCATCACACTACACTTATAGCTGCCATTGGATAGGCAGTTAGAAGCCATGGCCAAATGGGGGATGCTTTACTCCGCTTTGTAAGCCAATTGCAGTGCCACCTGGAATGTGGATGCCTTAGCAACAGTTACCTACGCCTTTATTTTCTATGATGGACTACTGCAGTGCATTTTGTATGGTGCTGCTTTTGGAAACAACTTTATCTTACTCAATTTATATACTGCCACAATTCAAATTTGACTCCCTGCAATTAACATGAATATACATAATATTTAAAATATGCATGGTAAAGAAAACAATGCTTTATGGCATATGGTCTATCCATGTGGAATACAAAGTTTGCCTGGTCTCCCTCCCTGTTGTTTTTTAGAAGGGTGGTCTAAATAGAATTGTTAGAGCATTATGTAGTTGATGTTGCTGATTATACACACCAAAGGTGTCGTGATCCTGCTGCAGGCACACACACACACAAGGGAGTCTATGGTCTGATACAGCAGCGGCTTGCCTGACAGCAGCACTCTAGAGTCTGGTCTGGCAGTGCAGGAGGCAGGAGCGCAACTTAGCCCGGGACAGGACACATGGCAGCAGGTTCCAGCAGAGACATGAGCAAGGCATGAGCGAGACACAAACGAGACACGAGCAATCACAAGTGAGGCATGAGGCAGGTACTAGATGGTTGTCCCCGAAGCCTCCCCTTCTACCGATCCTTATAACGGCAGCCAGTGTTCCTCATTTCGGAGGGCGAGGCTCCCTTCTCGTGAGGAGCCTCGCCAAACGCCTTTGCAACACTCTCTTTTCAGCGTGCCTTGTTCTCACATCAGGTGGTTCCACATTTTCTGCCTCATTATCTCCAGCTGTTGCTCGCTGTCCAACCCCACCTCTGATAACTGCTCCGCCTGCTGTTCGTCCGGTGCTGTCTCCGACTCTGACTCTGAATCAGACTCAGAGCGGACTATGACAAAAGGAGATGTATTGTTTTATTAATAGTTACCTAGGTTGTGGTTTTGTTTTATATATGTTTTTTATTGATGAATTTTTAACATGAAAATGGTGGTATTCGGATGTTGTAATAAATAAAGTACAGTTGCCTTGATTTACATAACATGCTAAGGACTGAATTAACACATTAGAATAAGCCAGTTTTTGCTTTGGTCTCTGAGAATTGCAAATCGATATACCGTATTTTTCCATCTATAAGATGCCCGCATGTACAAGACAACCCCCACTTTTCCAACCCAAAATTAAGAAATCA